TGACCCAGGACATAAACGTGTGTGTCCACATGTCTGAGTGCTTTTACCTGTGGAAAGTTAATCATGCGGACTGGAATCATAGATTCAATCAACCTGTTAGAAAGAGCAGAAATGTTATCAACAGGCAACAGCAGGTGTCATCCCTTCAGTGTTATTTTTTTATATAAAAAATATGCAAACAAGAAAGGCAGAAATTAAGAAAGAAAAGGTTTAAAAACAACAACAACATTGGAAAGAATGGTAGGAAATAAAGACAAAAAAGACCAAATAAAGAAATAAGGTATGGAAAAAAGTACGGTGCCAATCTGACCTGCTGCGGACCTGGATGGGCTCTACATCAAAGTACGGCCTTAGGATGTCGATGTTGGCATAGAGGTTAAAGGCTTTGGAGGCCTGGCGCTTCCCTGCCCGCCACACCTGAGCACAGGAAACCACAGGTTAGAGCTAAGCCCCCAACTAAGACCCCATCAACCCCACCATCATCCCTGCTTCTTACCTCATCTGCAACCTGCCGACCCAGCTGACCTTTCATACCCTTCATACCCAGAAACTCTTCATCCTCTGGGTTGTCATCCTCAGCAGCTGCAGCCTCTTCCGCTACCTCCTCCTCCATCCTCTGGTGCATCTCACCCATGTCCTCAAAGCTGGAGCCCGATGTGTCGTCCATGTTCTCCATGTCAATGACCGCTGACCCGGTGCCCTACCACACACAGAGATATAGTAGGATATACCAACGGTGGTTTGTTTTTTAATGTTAGACTCACATATGATACATCTGGATCTATTATATACATTTTTTTAACTATAATCTTTCCTGCAAAAAGCAACAAGAAACTTTAAACTGGAAACATGGTTTTTACTATCATTTTACTTTCAATTAGAAAACAATATTAAAAATATTGCCTGCATCTTCTTTTTACTGAGTAGCAAACTGTAGCTGTTGTTGTTTAAATCAAATCCTTCCCCATAGTTCCTCCCATCTTCAACAGATTATTAATTCTGGTTGCACCAAAACATCTTTATATTATATCACTGCATCATTATACTCTAACTTTCTTCTTCGTTCTTCTTCTCCAAACATAGGCAAAACTTTCCATCTAACAAAACAATGTGGTTCCAGTCCCAGTGTCCTTTTCATACTGTATATATCATAAAACTCTAAGCATTAAAATGATAACTACATCAGTGCTGTGTAGATGCTGGAGTGACCAGTTACGTCGCCAGTTTAGTTTGTAAATCTACTTCGTGTCTGGTCGTATGGTATAAGCAAGGTTTAGCTGGTACGTTAATTATATGTTGGCATGTTAAACTGGGGCAAATCTGTTCTGTTTATATGTTAAGCTTAAAACATGTCCCGCCTGAATGTTATCCTTATACTAATAAAGCCAGTTGCGGATTTGTTTTGCCATTCAGTTTGAGGTTTATGACCCCGAAACGGTTTGTTATCATCTTAACACAGTAGAGAATTGCTACGTTAGCTGTTAGCTTACCTGCATGATGTTGTCGTCGAAACCACCCCACGGTTCCGTGGTTCTGCTACCGGAGCCCGCAGACATTTCACCCGCTGCGGCCTTGCTTTAACCCCCTAAACCAAGTCCGGGTCCGCGAGTCTTCTGTTTTAACCTGAATGAACAACAAGATTGGTGGCGTTTTCACTCAAAACAGCAAAACATCAGGAAGCTGCTCTGGCGCTAAAGCGCAAGCGCGGTGACGTCACAGCCAAGGGAGCGACGTGGAAGCCGGAAGTAAGGATTCTTTTCCGGCACATTTTATTTCTATAAATTTAGTTTTTCCAGTTATAATTATTTTGTTCGATTAATGGTTAAAATGTAAATTATGTCTGCAACATTTGACATTCAAAGGTTGTGGTCTGCATTTTTGCAGTGTAGTTTTCTCTTACCTTGCGCGCCTGCGAGTAGTGATATGGACAAAACGAGAATTTTGCTAAGTGCGCCAGTACAACGTTAACGGACGTTAAAATACTGGAACTGTATCCAAATGTTTTGCACGGATAATAGAAATGGACTTAACAGATATATAGGAGTTGGCAGTTATATTGTTGTTGTACAAGGGGAGACATCCTTATGGATTATTGGTAATAAGGCTCACAATGACATTTTGTCCTCTGCATTTAATCCACCTGTTAAACTGTAGCAGTGCTCTGAACAACACAGCCCTGCCGGGGTTGGGAATCAAACGGCCACCTCTCCAATCGCAGTGGCCACAGGTGGACCATCATATACTGTACATAGACTTAAAGTGAATTACCAAACCACATTTATGAGTTTCACTGCACCTTCATCCACTGTTCCATCTGCTCTAGAGGCTCAAATCTGTCAAACACAAAGTATCCCACTTAAACACAATAAATTTGTTTTTTCTCGGATTTATTTGGAAAAAAAAAACAGGTTAACATTTTTTTTCCTAATCAAACACGACACGATGACGAACAAGCTTCTATCTGCAGGTGATGAACCGAGAACAAAACAAAAACAACAGTAAGAGCCAATGAAAGGGTGGCTGAGAGGCAACGGTTGGGCCACGCCACCCAGTCCAACTGCTTCTCACAAATCCTCATAAATAAACAGGTGAGCTTGAATACCACTGGGCTGAACTGAACACAATATTGTAGTGGAGAAACGAGGGTGGTGTCATGACATGGTGTGATATCTTCAAATGAGAGCAATATCACCACGAAAATTTTCAATGAACCAATAAAACAGACCATGGTGATGTTCAACAATGAGGGTGGTGGAAGAACAACGTTGCAATGGCCCACGGCACCACCTTCGTGACATTTTGTTTTTACTGGTAAGTTACATTTAAATACCATTAATATTCATATACATCATTGTTCCAAATTTATAAATAAGTGCAGATCCCAAACGACTAACGCACACTGTGCGATGCCGCTAAAACCACACACAGCTGGGGTGACAAATGAGGGGGGGAAAAAAAAATTTCCGTTATGGCCGACAAGCTGCAGTAATAGTCTTCATGCATATAACAATGACCTGGGCACAGGACCAATTACATTATCTCCTTGGTTTTACAAGAGAACTCCAGCCAATTACAGTCAATCAGGAGGTGTGGAAGAACAAAAACGAATGTGAGCAAAGGAGTTTGAGCAGGGACAAAAGAAAAAAAAAAGAAAAACACATAAGATGACAAAAGGGGTCAGAATCAGGCTGATGAATCAAGTGGCTGCATCAGAATCCAAATTCCAGTAAAATGACATGAATAGACTTTCAAATTTCCCATGATGCTGTGCCCGACAGAGGGCGTGGCCAGAAACTGATGGCTCCCAGCTCTGTCTGCAGATGGTTGATGGGAAATGGAGTGTGAAAGAAGGGGCCTTAATGGTCAGTAATGACCATAACTGGATCTGACCATTTTTGGTGACTTTCATCTAATACAAGACCATATATGGATGTTCCTGCTGCTATCAAAAGCAGAGAAGAATTGACCAGGTCCAGGTCCCAACATCTGAATGTCTAGGAACAGAGACCTGATGCCTGTTCCGTAAGTTTTTCATTTTTATAACTCTTCCAGAATTGGTCACAAACCAGTCGACACCAGTTCAGAACCATGTCAGACCAGGTTCTGAACCATGTACAGAGCTGTACCACATCAGTCAGAGTCCTCAGACTCCAGGGGTGCAGTCTCATCCAAGACAATCTTCTGATGATTGGCAGCAGCAGCCAGCGCACGCTGCTCCTGTTCCATGTGCGCCTTCTTGTGGCGGGAGAAGCTGGATGAGTGCATGAAGGTCTTGTTACAGGCGGCGCATGTGTAGATCTTGGTCTTTGCAGCAGAAATTCCAGACTTTGCTCGACCGCTGTTATTCCCTGCCCTGTGTGTCTGCTGGTGCCTGGCCAGGCTAGAGGCGTGGCTAAACCGTTTTCCGCACAGGCTGCAGCCGTAGTATCCAGTGCTCCCTCCAACACTGCTCTCATCATCTTCCGAGGGAGCGCTGCATCGTTTGCCAGCATGGCCCCCACGGCGGCGGCGATTCTTTTTACAAAGTGTGTAGAAATTAGGCTTGTCACGGGAGCAGAGCTTGAGACGGATCTTGAGGTCGGATGAAGTTTCTGCCAAGTTCTCTTTTTCGGGAGTGTAGTTGTCCAGTAGCTCTTTCACGTGTGTCACTTGGTGCTTGGACAGCTGCGTCGATGTTCCAAAGCTCATGTCGCACTGCGGGCAGGCGTAGAACTTGTCGCTGCCCGGACTCTGAATGATTGCTGTAGCCACGTGCTGGTGCTTTTTTGCTCTTTTGATCTTACCGCCAGGTTTCAGCGTGTGGTGCACGGTGGCCATGTTGGCAATAGGGACATTGTCAACTGGGATTTCTTTGCCTTTCTTGTGGATGAGGCGGTGGCGCGACAGGCTAGAGCTGTGGTTGAACTCTTTGCCACAGATGTTACATGGGTGAATACGCCGCTTCCCATGGAGCCGCAGGTGACTACCCAGCATCCTGAGTGGTTAAAGTAGCAACAGTTAGGCTCCCTTATTGACAGGAAATGTATTAAACAATACTCAACGTTGTTCAATTAAAAGCTATACTAGTAACAAATTCATGAATTATTCTTCACAGAAGCCATATTTCATTTATATGCAACCAGAGAGAAAAATTGGAACAAGGAACTCAAGATGGACATTTAAGAATGAGACCTTCGGACTAGAGCAGAAAACACAGACCAGGATCATAATCAACTATTGTTTAAGTCCTAGGAAAGACTGACGACAGAAGTTGAGGACCTCAATATAGTGCCAAGGCCTGAACCTGAGTTTATCCAGTCACATTCAAGACCTGAATGTTAAACTAGTAAGTGGAACAAAAGAGGGTCGGGATCAATAGGTACTAACCTGCTGCCTTTGAAGCTCATACCACAGTGGGTACAGGTGTGTCGTGCATCTTGGAGCGTTAACTCCATACCCCGTTTCGCTGGAGTTGCACTGCTTCTGCCGGTGTGCATCTGCTGATGGCGATACAAGCTCGAGGCGTGGCTGTAGCACTTCCCACAGTAATTGCAGCGATACTGCCTCTCCTCTGGTTCATAGTCATCCTGATCAGAATCAGCCTCGCCGTCCAGCTGGCTACTTCCTGCCTCTACTAGGACCTCATGCTCCTCCTCCTCTGGGTCATACTCATCAGAATCTGTCTTAATCTCCACACTCTGTTCCATCACCTCACAAGGGTACACCTCCTCATACGGGGCAAAGAATGCTTCATCTGCCTCGATCTTCAGCTCGTCAGCCCCCAGCTCCGACCCGTCATTTTTCACACAAGAGATTGTGAATTTGGACCCAACCTCTGCCCATTTCACCACATATTCAATTGGTTGTGTGTCCAACTCCACAGTGATAAATTCGGCACCCAGAGCGTCCGTCTCTGCCACTGCCAGCTCTGTCTCTGAGTCCTCCATGCTGAGGTGAGGTGGAGGAGTTGAAGGGCCTGAGAAGAGCGCAGCACTTCATGATTACTGAGATATGGTTAACATGACAGTTGATACACACACACACACACACAACTGTTCAGTTACCAACAAACATAATAGAACCAGACCCCAGTGCCAGATCAGGAAAACATCATTTTCTACCGTTAATTGTTATTTTACCAAACATCGTATGAAACACTGACCAAAAAATGTTTAACATTTTAAATATGTAGTTTTAAGAATGTTAGTTGTCCAATAATAGGTTCTTACTTTGAAAATGCTTGGTAACAAAGACTGAAAAAATAAACAGCTGCACACAACACATTAAAACCACCAGTCTAAAAAACCATGCTATAGTATGTAATTCTGAAAGCAAAATTTAATAATCATTATGCATTGCAATCTTAAGATAAAAACTAATACCTAATCTTTTTTTTTGCTTTTTAGTTCAGAGAAGACCCCCACAGCCCACCCTCCGTCCCGACTGCAACTCAATTGTACAAATATGATGAGTTCATGAAATAAAATATAAAGATGGAGGCAACCCATATCATTCAAGTAAACAGGTTTTGAAAATTAATATTGCCCAAAATAAATATACGTTCCAATTCCATAATTAATTGGTAAATATCCTACTTTTTTAATTTAACATGTTATTTTTTAAAAACTATATTTAAAAAATGAATTCTACAAACACAAATTGTCAAAACAATCTAGCCACAACCTTTAAACCAAACATCTAAGATTGTTTAAATGTTGCTTTTTAAATAGGTTAGAAAATGGTTAATGCAACAAAGACGTGTAGTGTTCAATAATTTACCGATATTTAACGTACGTTTCCTGTCACAATGAAGATTCCAAATATGGACGTTAACGTCGTTGGACGGCGCGCGGCGGCGCTGCAGCTCCAACCAAACCTTGTTCTATTTTTGTGAACAAACAGTCTCTATAATTCCGCAGCTCTTTCGACGCGACGGGTGGAGATGTCATTAAATCCGTTTTTATTTCTGCCCATTTTCAATCGAAACGTGTTAAATTAAACAAAACGTTCATAGTGCAATTGAAATATCAACACAAAATAAACGTCCCGGCAAATTTATATCGATTATTGGTCCAGGATGAATCCGCAGAGGGAGGCTGCAGGAGATGTACCCATCCTTCAATATTACGATTTACTCAATAAGACCACAGCCGAATGCCACATAAAACACTTTGATGATGTACACCGCCTGGAATTTTCCATAAAGTTATTATATTGGCCGTAGAAAGCGAGTGACTTTAATTTCGTTCATCTCAAAGCGGAGTTCCGGGGCTAGGCCGCGCTGTGGCGGTGACGAGGAAGCGGGGCGGGATGTGCTTTCCTGACCGTTAAAGTGTCAAAATAAAACCGTGGGTGGTCGATATTAAAGCGGGAGGTGGTTTAACAGATAAACGCTGCAGAGTTTTGACACTCACCCGAGTTCGATAGTGGATGAGAGCAGAAAGCTTCTAAGTGTTACCGGCAGAGACCGTCACAATAAACAGGAAGCTGGGACGTGGACACAAAGCATTGTGGGAAGGATTAAATAGTTGCAGAAACCGGACGTGCAGCGTTTGGTCTTTCACAATAAAACAACGTCAAATGGAAAAAAAAACTAAAGCGCCAGAATCCGTATTTAAATATTAACAATAACGGTAATAACTGCATCTGTGGTATGTGTAAAATATTACATAATACTCAAGGGACAATTTTGGGAGGTCTTAACTTCATTTGTTGGTTTAGGTATACATGACAGTGTGTTATTTCTATAATAGACCTCTGTTGAGAAATACAAGAAAGCCAAGGATGACACACGACTTATAAATTATGCTTCGCAGAGGTCCACAGTCAACAGAGACAATAAACCTAAAAAAAAAAGATAAACTAAACAGAATAGTGGTTCTTAGTAAATGTATTATTGTAGTCACTTGGTTTACACTAGTCCAACTACCACAAAAAGTCCAGTTTCTTTTATGATGATACAAACCAAAAAAATAGTAATCCTCTTATCTGAACACGTCAAACCAATCCAACCAAACCAATATTCACATAAGGTCTTAATTGGTTGGTTTGCAGTGAGTTATGGTTGTACACAAAATCCTGTGGTAAATGATTAGTTTGCTTTAAATAGCACTGAAACTTACTTTTATATGTATATATTAGTTTTCTGCTGAATCAGTTAAAAATACACTTAACACTGGATATTTGTAGACCTTTCTCTCTGCTTCTTTACAATGTCTCTATTTTTATTTTATTAGCTTACAAATGCATTATTCAGTTATGTTATTACATCACAAGGGACTGTTTCTTCATGTGCCTTTGATTTCCACTTTTGTTAAATATTCAGTTCTTCAGTTTTTGCCCAGTTGAACTATTTGTTTTATTACTTCTTGTATTAAGATTCTGTTTTCATTGTATAGTCATCATATTTGTCACTTGTTGCTGCAATACAACAATCTCTCCAATGTGGAATCAATACGGTTTAATTTAATCTAATCTATTTATTTCTCTTTTCTTATTGTGACCACATTCTGACTTCCAAGCCTAACTGAATGTAACATATTGCCAACTCCCTGACACTGCCTAAAAGTACAGCTTAGAACAAGTACACACCAAGTACACACATTAACTGCTAGTGCAAATATAACTGAATAAAAGATGAACGTTGTATCGATAACTCAATGACTGTATCATTAAAATTAGTGAGAGGACCACCTGGACGAGCCACATTAGCGGGCCGCGGGCCATAGTTTAGGAAGCACCGAGGCGATGAACGCCGGTTTGTCTATTCAATCGACACACACGCGCGCGTACACGCCATTTAGAGACACAAAAAGGTTAATATATATGTTGAATACACACACTTACGACTGAGACTGGCTTTGTCCTGGACCAGGTTCTACTACGGTTCCTGGTCTGTCACCAGCCCTGGTTACAATCGTCAGAAACGGACCGCAGCTGCGGTAGAGCGGCAAAACAGTATTGTAGCCGAGCTGCCGCGGCCCCAA